GTGTGTGTGTGTGTGTGTGTGTGTGTGTGTGTGTGTGTGTGTGTGTGTGTGTGTGTGAGTGTGTGTTTCACTTCAGATACGAGCATCCAAACACGCCTCAGAGGACAGAAACATGAGCTGATCTACAAGAAATCACACCAGCAGATACGAAATAAAGAAGCTGGCGGTCAGTATTTGACACCAGATCATCTGTCAGATAATATTTCAGCTGTGTTACATGAAAGAATTCAAAAATACATTAACATTATTCAAAAATAATAATAATTAATATAAAAACCAAACTCAACAGATATAAGATACAGTAAAGAGTAACTTGCCGTTTAAATATATCTATAACCTGCATTAAATCTATCTTTCTGGTTGCTGGTGTTTTGATGTAAAGTGCAGATCAATAAAACATTACCAATAAACAATAAATCATCTGCAAGAACAACCTGCCATGGAAATACAGACAGTGATGAGGACAGAGCAGTCTGTCAGTAATAAGACTTTAGGTTAGTTAAAGTTAAACTCTCTTACCTGTGTGACAGCTCTCAGTCATGGTGACTTTTGTAAATATAGATGGATATAATGCTGATCTGCTGTGAGTTTGGACTCAGACGTTCTTCATGTTTGTTGCAGATGGTGTGAGTTCCTCTATCAGCCGCTGCCCTGCCCTGCAAACACTGTTTCACACCAGAAGTGGAGTGTTTCCGCAGGAGGACCGCACACACACACACACACACACACATCTGATCTGATCATGCCATCTGCTGGTGATGGACACGCGGATGAATAACTGATGAACCTCACAAACAACTTCAGATGACCTAGCTCTTAGAAAATCAGCCGTCAGTCACACTGACCATCTATCTGCTGTTTTTATTTTATTTTAATTTTAACTTATTAAATACTGGATTTGATAATGTTTTCACATGTATGTGTATGTAGGTGTTTTTCATCTCTCTCCGATACTGTCAAATCCAGTTTATCTTTATCATATGTGACCACAAAACGCAGTCATAAGGGTCAATGATCTGAAAGCTGGATAAATAAGCTTTCCATTGATGTATGGTTTGTTAGGATAGGACAATATTTGGCTGAGATACAACTATTTGAAAATCTGGAATCTGAGGGTGCAAAAAAATCTAAATATTGAGAAAATCATCTTTAAAGTTGTCCAAATGAAGTTCTTAGCAATGCATATTACTAATCAAAAATTAAGTTTTGATATATTTACGGTAGGAAATTTACAAAATATCTTCATGGGACATGATCTTTACTTAATATCCTAATGATTTTTGGCATAAAAGAGAAATCTATAATTTTGACCCATACAATGTATTGTTGGCTATTTCTACAAATATACCCCAGCGACTTAACACTGCTTTTGTGCTGCAGGCTCACATATTGTTTGTTTGTTTTGCTTTTTTATAAAAAAAATAAAAAAAAGATAAATAAACAGTAGAAAAAAGAAAATCATCTGTGTTCTGGGTCATTCGGTGGATTGAGCAGATATGGACCTCAAACTATAACAATAACCTAATAATCCTGAGCTAATATTTCAGTCTGTCCACCCTGTTACAGGACATTTCTACACTGCAGACGTTTAAACCACTGAAGCCCATTACTGGCTAGCAGAAGATATAGCAAGAACTTTATACAGTGGGTACGGAAAAAATCTGCAAAAATGTCAACGATTCTGTGTTTTTCTGTCAATATGGGGTGCTGTGTGTACATTAATGAGGAAAAAAAATTAACTTCAATGATTTTAGCAAATGGCTGCAATATAACAAAGAGTGAAAAATTGAAGGGGGTCTGAATACTTTCCGTACCCACTGTATAACATTTTCATTTCCATTACAAACTGACTCAACAGGGTGGACAAGTTGGGTTTTACACTAATAGATACGATTTCTAAAAATGAGGAAAAGAGAGAAAAGTTTATGACTAAGACTTCATTTGTTCCTGGATTCATTTTCACTCCAAGGAAATGATGTCACTTTTATCAGGTCATGTGATTTACGGCACACGCTTAAGAAGCGCCAATATAACAGGATGGACATAAACTCATTTAATGGTTTTACACATTAAACAAATATGCATCACACAAAAAAGAGAATAAGTACATGTGTACACTATTACTCAAAGCATTTAATTCAGTGTGTTACTTGCTGTTTCTTTGTGTAATTAATTGTAATTAATTAAATAAATTTACTAGCAATTTCACAGTGAAAATTGCCTCGACACCTAATTTCAGTGAAGGTGCAAAGAAGCTTTGAAGATGTGCATGTTAATGTTCTTAAGACGACACACATCTTTATGTCTGTCTTTGTAGGTTTATTGTTGAACTGAAGATTTCAGCTGCAAAGAAAAGTCCAGAATCACCAGTGGCTTGGAGTAAATGTATTCTCATAATTTACATTTAGTCATTTAGCAGACGCTTTTATCCAAAGTGACTTACAAATGAGGACAATAGAAGCAATCAAAACTAACAAGAGAGCATCAGTATGTACAGTAAGTGCTGTGACAAGCTCCATTAAGTCTGACACAGTACAAGTAGCAACATACTTCAAAATATCTTCTTTTATCATACAGCTTTGGAACAACCTGAGGATGAGTAAACGAGACAGAATGTTCATTTTTGGGTGAACTATGCCTTCAAAGTTGCTAAAAACCCTGTACAGTGATGTGACACATGACGAAGATGAGTGCTCTGTGTCAGGTTCAATAGTTTATTAAGTGGTGTGACTAACCAGCCCAAACAAGCTCGTCTCCTCACGGCATCGCCATGGCAACGGCTCATAGATGCAAATGTGTTCCAATTAAAACAGTAAAAAACAGCATCTTCAGATTCATTAGAAGATCTATTTCGAGTTGAAAGTGAGGATAAAAGAGCGCTCGTGTTTCTCTTGGCACAAGCATGAGGCTGATTTAGTGCTGCAGTCAATGCATCAATGCCTTCGCTTCTCAAATCAATAACCTGTCAATCATAAGTATTTATAAAACGGATAGTTCCGGTGCTTGACTCTGATTGGCTGAGCCGCGTTCGAAGCTGTTGTAAATGACTCTATAAAGTAACATACACCTTTGTTTACGTTTGTGTGTTGCTCGGCAACCACTTTGTAGCAACCACAACTGTTTCTGAGGAGCTACATTGTTTGGTGGAAGAATACTGTTTTTATTAATATCATTACACTTTATTTGCTCTGTTTTATTTTGTGAAACCTTACTACGTATATGGAATAACCGTTTTATAAAAGCAGTAAGCCCCGTGAAGCCGTGGTTTACAGTGAATTTATAACAGCTAAGGGGGTTTTAGACTCCACTTCGCATCGTATCGAACAACACCTCTTAGCGGTTATAAATTCACTGTAAACCACGGCTTCACGGGCTTATTGCTTTATTGTGTTCTACAGTACTTTGTTTAATCCAAACCCTGGTGAGATGCATCAGTAGAGCTGTATTCTCAAATGTTGTGAACGACTCACTGCATTTCCTGACTGAAAGAGAATCAAAAAACAACAGACAACACTAAACGTAATGAGTTTTGAAGTAAATAATATGGAAATTATTCTGTAACACCATATCAAAGTACCGTAACGGGTGTCCTGAAAATATGAGCCACCTCTCATTAGTTAGTTAGTTAGGGTTAGAGGAGGGTTGGGTGGGTTAGTTTTAACTGCTGGTAGGTTATCATCCTGAGCAAGTTCCAGCATTAACCTCATTAACCTGTACTTGTCTGTTTTCTCTCTCTGGGGCTGTTTAATAACGGCGAAAGCTACCAAGACTGATCCGCTTACTGCCACAAAACCGGATCAGTGCCTGAGGCGGTGTATTTATAAGGTCTGATCGTTTATTTATTCATTTATTTATTTATTCATGACACTTATGGATAGATACGGATTTAATA